GCATCTTAAAGACTGTCGGCCCTGCATGTAGCTTTTCAGGATTCCAATCCCAGCTATTTTTTTTTTCACTAGTTGTGGGATCTTAAGAAAGTTAATAAGTCTTGCTATATGTTACCTTTCTTATCCAGGAAAGAGGTGTAACATTATTTCCTAGTTCAAAGAACTTCTTACTTATCACAAGATAAAGATATTACTTATACCCTTAACTTTTCACACTGACTAAAATTCAGAATTTAATATCAGATACTGTGGCAGGAAGGCAGGGAGGGGGAAAGGAGATAGTGAGAGATAATGAAGGAGATAATGAGTACAACAGTAAAACAAAACAAAACAAAAAACTGGATTTGAGGAATGTCAAGTAGCACCTGGGGTGAGACCATAGAAAGGTCACCTCACTCCAGAGGTTAAAATACCCAATGAAATAATATGTGATCATGTATGGGACAAGTTATATCCCCTCCCACCCCCTGCTATTTCTGTAACCTGCCCTAAATGGTATGTAAGTGTTATCTGATGGTTTGAAGTGTTGTGGGTCAGGGTCCAGTGTCCTTGCCTTCACAGGCCAGGGAACTGACTTGTGAGGCAGCTGGAATGATGAGCCAAAGCTGGTATATTAAGTAGGATTTATTAGAGAGAAAGGGAAGGCTACAACTAGAGGAGTGCAGTGGAGCCCAGAAATCGGTAACTTGCTGCACAGGTGAAGGCCGGGGTTTTTATGGACGTTTTAACTCTAGGTTAAGTGGGTTTTTTCATTGGCCATGGATTCATGGGCTTTCTCAGGTGAACTGATTTGGTTTGCACCTTTATTGGGGCAGGGGCAACAATCTTGGGAGCATTTTGCTCATCAGCCCTGTGGCAGATCTATCAGACTCTGTATCTTTTCTTTAGAATGCAGAAATATGGATTTACAACACCCTCCCAGGGTGCAGGAATGCAGGCCTCTAACTCCTCAGGATGCAGGAATGATATGGCTCTCCAGGGGGGGGATGGGATACTCATCTGCCTTAGGTCTCAGACCAACATAAGGAAATCCCCCTTTGTTCTTGTGGCTCAGCCTTTGGACTCAGTCCCCTGAGTAGCTACTGGCCTGCTTAACAAACTAGCTTCCAGAAAGCTTTGTCTGTCTGTCTGTCTCTCTCTCTCTCTCTCTCTCTCTCTCTCTCTCTCAGAGCAATCCTACAAGACCTGAATTCAATCTTGTTTCAACCACTTTCATAAACTGTTATTTAATTTCTATGTGCCATTTTCCTCTTCTGAAAATGGAATAGTGACAGTATTTACCTAATACCACTGTTGGAAGGATAAAAATCAGTAAATACATGTGGAAGCACCAAATTCTTGTTTGTAATTGATCTTCAGAGGTTAATTTTTCTAACAAGCAAAGTTCTCATCAAACAAAGACTTATCACTTCTATTTAGAGAGAAAGTGTAAATACATAAGACTTAAATTTCTGCTTTTTAAAATTTAAAATGTCTTTTTGTAATAAAGGTAATTTGCAAGTTCTATGGTTAAAAATTGTAAGTTCTATGTTTAAACCTCACATCCACAATGACACCTTCCTTGATAAAGTGACCACTGACCACGTGGAGAGGAGTGATCTGGCCAAGAGAGTCTTTATTGCTGGGTGGGAGAGGGAGAGAGGAGAGAGGAGAGAGTAGAGAGGGAGGGAGGGAGGGAGGGGGAGAGAGGGGGGCAGAGGGGGGAGAGAGGGGGAGGGGGAGAGGGAGAGGGAGAGGGAGAGAGAGGGAGGGAGAGGGAGGGAGAGAGAGAGAGGGAGAGGGAGAGAGGGAGAGAGGGGGAGAGAGGGGAGCAGAGGGGGAGAGAAGGGGAGGGGGAGAGGGAGAGAGAGGGAGAGAGAGAGAGAAGGGCAGGTGCTTATATACTCCTCAGTGAGTCTCGGCATGATCTGATTGGTTAGGATCTTATGGCTCATGCTGATTGGAGGTTGGGGCAGAAGGAGAATTCAAGCTAGACTTGAGGCAGGACCATGACCCTGGAAAACAGAAGCTTAAGGGTGCAGTAAGAACCGAAACCTATCAGCACCATTATTGCTAACACCTGCCCCCTCATTAAATGTTAGGAAATATTTGAAAAGGATATGCAAGTATAATAGTCAAATGCAACTTGTTTAGAACTATAATCCTCTATGAACACTTTGCCTGGGCTTTCCAGGCTCTCATCTCACCTGGATTTCATGCTCTTTTTGGCTTGCAGGAATGTAAGTATTCCAGAACTTTCTAGGCCTTATCTTGAGGATCAACACAGCCCTTACATATTGCTAAGCACTCTGTTTATCAGAACAACTCTCCTCTTTGCATAAGGTTCTTTGTCATTGAATTATAACTTATAGCCAAAGCCAATCACAAATTAAAGATAATTTTTGTGATTGTAGAGACACAATGTGCTCAACATAATACCTATCAAAATAAATATCGATGAATTTTTGAGGCATTATTATTATCATTGCTCTGATACCAGTGACTTTTAGTAGATTATGGGAGAAAAGGTAATAGAATAAAATGACCAAATGAGAATATGATAAAAATACTAATTTATTATTAATTGATCAGGCCATAATTTGTTTACTGTCATATGAAACATTTGGAATAGATCCTAAGATTTATGCCACAGTAAATGTTTGATTACATAATTTAACTGTCAGGTAGTATAGGCATAACCACAAATAGGGTAAAAACTAAAGTGTAAAAGTTACAAAGATAATTTTTGACACCTAAATTTGGCATGTTTTTGATTTTAAGGCTGGCTACAAACATTACCAGTAAGATGGATTTTTACATGCCACATAAGCAAATCTTTTTAGTCTTCAGTAAATTTAACTTAAATTAATTTCTTTTTATGCTGGAGAGTGATCCGAGGGCCTTGTTCATGCTAAGCAGGTACTCTTAACCCTTAATGACCCCCCCAGCTACTGACTCCTTTGTAACAATGAGAGCTTCATATACACTTGCAAATAGAATATTATGTTTCCATGATTTTTAAAGAGATCTAGTGATGTCTTTGTGATTTATCTCCAAATCTTATCCCAGAGATTGCTTCTGTTTACATTTATTAAGTGTATTTCAGCATTTAAATTTTTCAGTAAATTAGAACATCCTTCTTTTTCTAAAAATTTATCTGATTGCAAATGTGTGAGTAAAGGTTTTTAAAAACTAAAATATGAAATATAAATGAATCCATTTTTAATTTTCTTTCATGTATCAAGAGGAATAAAGTTTAGAAGGCTCTAGAAATTATGTAATGACTCTGAGGAGACAAACGTGGGGCAAAGTTGGGGAACTGAAGTGGGAAAAAACTAAACATTTAGAAATAGATATTTTTGATATCTTTTGAGAATATAATGTTTTCCCTTGTTTTGATGTAATACATTATATGAATATATTTTCTAAAGTGGCATTAGAATTTAAATATTTAAGTCTCTCTGCTTGGGGTTAAATCCTGCCTTCACCACTTTATATGCATACATATACATACACGTACACATTTACATATATACACAATAGAAACTGATCTCTTTAGAATTTTGTCACGTTTTTATACATGATCAAACCTCAAATGAAAACAGAATTCAATTTTTAAAAAAATATATGCAATATGTACTGTAAATATGTATACTAATCTCTTCATTGTTATTTGGATAGCTGACACTAAGAGTTTTATCTTTGTTGCTATTTTCAAACTTCGTAGTCATGTTCACTAATTGAATAAGCCTTAATTATTAAAGCTGTAACATTAATCCCCAAACCTATAGTCACTATTTTCCTACATCTCTCTATGTAGTAAGACCTACAGTTTTGAAAGAGAAGCTGACTGTCATAAGAGTATTAGAATTTTACTTTCCTGCAGTCAGAATCAAAACTTTCTCCTTGGAGAGAAGATCAGCTGGCTAGAAAATTATTGCAAAGATGATATTTGTCTTTGGCACCCACACTGTATTTCCCTTCCTATTAGTCTCTGAGATATCCCTCTTTAAGAACCTAAGACATATTCTGAAATTTAATTAAGTCTACCCATTATCTTAGTACCTACCTGCTTCCTGTTTTGTCTATTCATTGTAGTACTTCTTGAAAAGGGCATTGATCATGGTAAGGATGCTTATTTTACAAAAGAGGTGTTTTGATTTGTAATAAAGTTTAGAGGCCAGTCTTCCTCCCTCACTATACCATACCCATTGTTAGATCCTAGCTATCAGGGTTGTCACCATCATCTAGGGAACCCAGCGTTTTAGCTTAGTGCCTGGCACACAGTAAGGGCTTGAAGTTCATTGTTAAACTTAGTCAATGTAGCCAAATGGCCACCTGTCTTTAATTCTGCTAGATCACATCACGCACTATGGAAATCTACTGTTCTCTCTTCCCAATTACATTCTACCTTCTTCCGGAGTTGGGATCTTGTTTTTCCTGGTATACCTGAGCAGGAATCTCCAGTATTCTGTAATTCTCTTATCTATTGAAGTTACATATTGAGAAACCAGTATTGTAGAATAAAACACGTAGGAAAAAATACTAGGAATGTCAAAGGTGTAATAAGATTGGGGTTGGTAGAAAAGAAATGTGTTGATAAAGCGAGGTTAAGAATCCAGCTTCTCAAGCGTTGCTGTGGGCGCGTGGCCTTAGCAACTTTGGAGCGCATACAGCCCCGCCCCGCCCTCAGCTCCGCCCCTAGTCCCAACCCAGACCATCTCGCTCCTCCTCCGCTACTCCACACACTTACTTCCTCTCATCCTGCCAGTGGGACCTCGGGTCCTACTCTTTATGCCTTCGACTGTACTGCCTGACTAAAAATATGAAAGCAAATAAGAAAAATTAGGAAAGTATTCTCCCTGTGTTATCTGTGCTTCTCCCTCAGATTTATAAATGCAAGATCAGTATAGTATGTAACTTGGAGGCTCCGTCTAGCCTCAGCGTTAGGGCCCAATTTTTTGGCACTTCTCAGGACAGCTACAATTCTGGAGGTCCCCAGTTTGCGGAAGGAGACGTGGAGCTAAGTGGGGCGGGGCCCAGACGCTTTCTCGCTGCTCTGGTAGTGGGTTTTCTGGTTGAAGTTGGCACAAGTTGTCTGTCCCTGCCGCACCACCATGTAAGTGTGTGCTTATCAACCGCACCTATCTCTGGTTTGGGCCCAACTCTAACTCTGTCCCTCACTCTTCCTCAGGTCGAAGGTTTCCTTTAAGATCACCCTGACGTCGGACCCGCGGCTACCGTACAAAGTGTGAGTAGCTGGGCCACGGCGGGCTTCAGACAGTTTCTTCCCCACCCAGCCTGGCATCCTTTCTTTCCTGTCCCCCCTCCGTGCCCTTCCAGGAGCCTGTCCCACCAGAGCCTGCAAGGAGAAGTCCCGTGCATGCTGCCCCGAGTATCAGCCGGGCCTGGCACCGGGGTGCGGGAGAGAGGCGTGACCTCGGCGTTTCTGCAGATCAGAGAGCGCCCCTCGAATTTCATTTAGTGGGCTGGTGGAGCCAGAGGACGTTTGGCTCGGGCTTTGGTACTTTGCTGGGCTTCTTAATGGTTATGAAGGCCTTTCACTATTTTGACCAGCTGTTAGAGGAAGTTAGGGAATACTTCACAGTCCAGACTTTGAAATTACTTGGCCACTTGTTACTGTCATGGTTTTTATTTTGTTGTGTATATGATTCATTGAGCTTCATGTCACACACATGGGATTTAATAAAGAGAGGAGAATGGGAAATGTGGCTCTTACTCTTTAGCATTTGAATTGATGGATTAATACGCATCCCGATCTTCCTGTCATTTCAACACTTTTAAAGTCCCAAGTGTGTAGTCGCTTGAGGCACATCGAGTCACATACAACACTGTTGAGGTCATTGCAGCCGGAAGGCCTGTGATATATGGCAAAAGACAGGACTTCAGTAAGATTTTATACAAAGTTAATATAAATAGGACCATGTCCCATCTAATTGAGCTGAGAACAGCTGTCACCAGTTTCAGTGATTTTCCATCCATGATCCATGCAGCTTCCCAGCCTTTTGCCCCCTTTATCTTTCCATCTCCAAAATATTCTTTATACACCTTATCTCAGTATTCCTCCTCACAGCCCAGAACCTTAGGATCTCCAGTAAATTGCGCCATCCCTAAAATGTTATTTTCAGGTGCTGCCCCTACAGATTGGTATGTAATTTACTCCTCCCTGTGATTTACTCTAATAGCTCTTCTGCAGTGCTTCTTTGAATCCATTTATCACACTGCTTTTTAATCTGCCACCCTCCCCTCCCCAGTACCATATGCACTCATTTCTTCTGTATCTACCTTGAGGGCCATGGGCCATCGTTTTTCTCTTGCAGACATCTTCAACTCTTGAAGTCCCTTCTCTTTCCCTGGCAAATTTTGCGTGGTGAAAAACCAATTCTGAATTCATTTATTTGTATACTCTGTACATAATCGAATATTCTTTAAATTGCAGCAATAAGCTGATAGGTTTTATGGAAAACTCATGATACTACATTTCCCAAGTTTGCTCATTTTTCTCTTATTCTCAGAATGGATTTTTTAAGATTTCAAACTTTCCACAACTTAGTGTCAAAGAAGAATTCTCTAGTCTTTCCTTTCCCACATCTGGGGCTGGCAGTGGCTCAAGTGGTAGAGTGCCTGCCAAGCAATTCTGAGCCCTGAGTTCAAACCCCAGTACTGCAAAAAAAAAAAAAAAAAAAAAAAAGACTTAAACTCCATCCCCACATCCCTCCATACTACAGCATCTATAAATGTTTAATTTTAGTTTCCTGTATGTTTATAGTGGAACACATGTCTGCTTTACAAAAAGCCAGTTGTTTCACTTGGGCTCTAGATTCCATTTATTCTAGTCTTATTATGATTAAAGTTGGGGAAGCCAGAAGCCTCTCCCTGTCTTTGGTTTTCCTTTTATATTGGATTATTCTCATCAATGTGTAAACATGCTCTAGAAGGAGAGAGTGAAGAGGAGGGAAAGAAAGGACAGTAGGACAATGTCAATATTGTTTATGACTGCTTGGACCATTGTATCATTCAATTAATACACAGTGACTGGATGAACTTAGTAGGTATATCTGTTCTTTAGTGTATATGTAGTTGTGCATGTGTGTATAGTCTGTAGAGGTATCATAGAAATACTTGCAAAATAATATTGCATCATTTGTAAATTATCACATTGCCAATGTATTAGATTTTTTTTTAAATAAATACCACTGTTTAGAATTTTGTTTTCATTTTCTACTCCCTCCCAAACAAAAGAAAGGGGATTAAAAGTAACCATTTTCATTCATTAACATTATTTTTGAAGAAGGAAGTGCTAACAGAAAGTCAGTATAATATGGTATGGCTGATACAATGATTTTTACATTTAGAGATTTGTCAACTAAGTGTGGAACTCGGCCTATACCTGAAAATGTTACAAAATTGTAATTTGTACTAAGACTTTAAAGATTAATGGGATATGACAAACAAAAGATTCAAAGAGAAGCGTCTGCTTGTCAGTTTCTTTTCAATGCTTGAAAGATTGTCTGTTTTTTATGTTTAATCAGTGTGACTTATTACCTTAGAAAACTACTTTTTTTCACTTTTCTCGAAAAATTTTACTGTGTCTTCTAGGGTTTTCTTGGGGTATAATATCAATTTGCTTTTAAGTTTTTAAGTTGGAAATTCATACAGATTGATCCTAGCATGAAATCATTTAAAAATGTTTATCAGTGATTTTTAATATACTTCCTATTAATAAGTCACTTAACAAAAGTACACATTCCTCTCCAAAATGTTATTCAGATTGCACTAGTCCTCTTTTTTCAGATGCCGGTGTAAAATTATTTCATTATTTTTATTTTGCCATAGTAAAGTTAACCACTTTCATCAGTTTGGTTTGCTGTTTTAGAGGTAATGATTAGGAGTACAAATGAGAGTCTGTCTGTAGCTTTATGATTTGACAGTGCTTCCCAGGTAGCCTGCGCTTGTAGTGCAATGATAACATTATTGCCATTGGATGAAAAGGTGTTTAAATGCCATTTAGTAACATGGACTGGGGACCAAGGAAGATTTAACTTTTTGAAATCCATCTCAAAAACAAACAGCAGCCTCTATGCTAGACTTACTTGTATCAAAGTGGTTAAGTATATATATAAATTTGTACCTGTAGGAATTACTAGTTTTTAAGTGGAAATTTGAGCATTTAGTCTAAAGCAGTTGATTTTATTTTTAGAGTTAATGAATATTGTTTTGCAATCAAATCAGCCAACTTTGAAACCCCCAAAACAACTTTTTCCAGATCAGCTACAATGGAAAAAATAAACGGCCTTAAAAAGAAAACAACTTTTTTAAAATCCTCTGATTCTTCTTGCAGGCTCAGTGTTCCTGAAAGTACACCTTTCACAGCAGTCTTAAAGTTTGCAGCAGAAGAAGTAAGTATGGAAATGGTAACAACATCTTTATGGAATGCAATTTGACAGTATGTTTCAAACTTTTAAATTTCCATGTGCTGTGATCCATCATTTCCCTGTGGGTTTGTTACTGGGTTTATGCTATAAAGTATAATGAAAGTTAAGGCTTACTTTTGGACACAAAATGATTGAATTAACACATTGGCATATCTGTTTAATACAATTACAATTTATATGCAATGCTTTGAAAATTATAAGAAAAATTTTTGTTGGAATTGAAAGTACAGATGATAAATACCTGAGTTTGTATCACCCTATATTACACATTTTTTTTTTATCTGAGGTCAATTTTATAAGTTAGCACTCAGTGGAAATGAAACAAACATTTAAAATTTGAGGGGTACATAAAAAGGGAATACTTTGACATAGATGTAGCTGGATATTGCTCCCTTCTTTCCCATTTGGGACATTGAGAATATAATGTTACAGATAATGTGTTTTCTTAATGTGAATTTTCAGACTACATCTAATAGAAAATGCCTGGTTAGGACTAAGAGACATAGTACAGATCCTAAGCCACATTTGCATACAATTATTTCTAAAACAAATGCCAGGGTATAGAAATGGCTTTCAGGATAACTGACAGCATATTACATCAATCTCTAATCTCTGAGAAAGTCTAAATGCTTCCCTTTTTATTAGTTTTCATTCCAAAATTTGAAAAATCTTTATCAGATATTTCAAACTTTTTTGTATAAACATGTTCACTGTCATTAAAATTTATAATTTCAAGAAGTGTCTAGTTTTTAAAAACATGTTGAGTGTTTTTTTTAAGGAATTAGAATTTTCCATGTGAAATTATCATATCCTCTACCATTCTGCTGCTTGGAAGAGCAGCTTCATCTGATAGAAATGGCACCAGAATGTGACTTGGGATACTTCAGCTGTTTTACTGTATTTTTAATTAGGTGTATGACATGGGACAGATTCCTCAGTTTCTGTGTTCACTATTTTTTCTTTTTTTTGTTTTGTACAGCTGGGAATCAAACCCATCTTTGTGTATGCTAAACATGCATTGTATCACTTTTGGCAACTCCACTTTCTTAATCTGCAAAATTAGAGTAGTTAGTGCCTATTCTTCCTGTCTGGTTAAGTGATTTTGTTTAAAAGTATTATATTCACCAAAATTTTGTAGTGAAGCAAAAAATGCCAGATAGATTGAGAGTAATCCAAATCTAAATGTATTGGTTCAAAATCTTTAAAAAGTTTAAAGTCACAGAAAAATAATTGTAATACCAAAGTAAATAAGAAAGGTTAACTTAGAACACTGGCCTGTAGTGACAGCGAATAATGGGAAGTCAGCCAACCCATCAGTGCTCACAGCAACTTGTGAACTATTGTCAGGGACTACTGCCATCATTTGTTACTTATTCAGAAGTAACTGCAAAGTGGCAGTATTTCTTACATAGTCATTTTTGATCTATTCTTAATGTGAACGAATAAGTAAAATAAGATTCATACTGAACACAGTGTTGTTACTTTTTGTTTACAGATCACTTGTAAGAAACATCCCTAGTCTGGGTTATAGCAGATTCTAAATTTAAGAAGTAGCTCTGTATAAACTATAATTAATAGTTGCTACTGTATATTTTGTAGTTATTTTCTTTGTCCTTCATAATGCAAATGTACTGTCATAATCTTGATCTTTTGAAAGTGGAAAAATATCCTAAGGAAGATGCATTAGAAAATAAACTGGTAAACTACACGCAACCACATATATTGTTTAAAAAGTTTTGATGTAGCTTCTAATTATTAAGAATGATGGGTGCTGTACATTTTGAAAGACTCTGACTTGGTAGCAGTAGTGAGAGGAAACATTGTAGAATCAGTGAGAACAAAATGTGCCTTAAGAAACCAGAAGTCTAGATATAAATCCCTGATAAAATTCTCTGAACAAACAATAATAAATTTCCCCAGTATGTAATAGGAAATTAATTTCTCTAAGTAATGAGTTGTCAAAACCTGACAAGAGCCTCCTAAAATCTTAAATTACCAGGATTATGGAATCTGAAAATTGAAAAGTATAAAATAAACTTTGCATCCAGAAGAAAACTTGTCAGTGGTGTAGGATAAAAAGATTAGTAGTTATTGTATTTTATATGACTGATGATGCATCCCTAGATTTCAATTAACTATTGCTTCCACATTTAGGGCAAGGGACAAACTACTAGCAATTGCTTTTGGCTTTTAAAGTTCATAAAATACATTGCCACTGTGTTAATGTGACTAAGAAAATGCATAGTTTATCTTAAAATGGACACGATCTGAGAGGTAACATAATTAAAACTTTGTAGGATTCATAGTTTTGAAAGTCTAAGATCTTTATTTGGGGGTTAGATCAAAGTTTTACTTAGATTATAGCTTCTACAAAATATTTTTGAAGTCCTTAAGATTTACCTAAGTACATATAAAAGTTCTTTAAAATAGGTACATAGTACCATAACAAGTAATTTTTCTTATGCATCATTCTTATTTTAAAACTTTATTCTTTAGTTCATAATTTGGGATAAGCTTTTAGTTTTTCTGAGCCATATGTTACTCAGAGCAGTGTTTCCTTTATACATGTCTTGAACAAAATCTCATACAAGAAACAAGTATCTCCACCAAAACAAACAAAAAAGAGAGAGACCATGAAAAGCTGAGATTAGTGGCCAAAAATTATAGGAACTTCTACATTTATTATTTCCTTTTTAGAGTTAAGTAAACTATTAGCAGTTTTAAAAAGGCTTTTGAGATGACCTATTGTTTAACATAGTGTTTTCCAAACTTAACTAGTTACAAAACTGAACTATACCATGTATGAAGTTAGTACTTAAACATGCTTAATAAACATTTGTTGGATAAAAGTATAAACGATCCTTTTAGAAGACACTTTGTCTACTATAGGTCTATAGAGTATTAAGAGATGTAGTCTACCTTATCTTTCAATAAGTTATACACTTCATTTCATTGACTCAAAAAGCACATCTTTTTGAACATTTCTGAAATAGGTCAGGGGAATCTTACTGCACTTTTGGCTGTCACATAATTATCTAGTTGGCATCACCTGTCTGAACTTAGTTGTTATTTCCTAGTGGCATAATTGGAAGATTATAGTGCCCTAAGGTGTAAGTCAATAAATCATTTAGGAAAAATTTAAGGAAGGAATCTGGGCCTCGGTTGGTATCTGAAAACCTTCTGGAGGTGCTTCTTGTTAAATACTAGTGAGCATCTGTTTGGAAATGGGCATTTCTATGAGGAAATTTTAGGAATATTCTCATCCATGTAATTTGCTTATATATATTTTATTTTTTTTAAGGAGAGCATTATATATGAGAAGTGGAACAAGTCTAAGTCTGAAGGAATAGACATTGGGCCATAGATGAACCATGCTTTTCCTTTTGTGTAGCACGTGAACTAACGGCATTTTACAATCTCTGTTATCCTAAATACTGTCAAATGCATTATGCAAAGTACAGGGTTATTCATTAAAGATAAAGGAAATCATACTACTTTCTTTGCTGTTATTTATTCTCAAAGAGAAGTCACAATTAGAATTATAGAATTGATGGGTACCTCATCCTTATTGCTTATCTTTTATAGTTATATTTCTTTTTTTTTTCTTTCAGTTTAAAGTTCCTGCTGCAACAAGTGCGATTATTACCAATGGTAAGAATTCACTTTTTTTCCCTAGGCAGTGCTGGGGATTAAAACTAGTATCTTGTGCATGCCAGGCGAGCACTGTATCAAAGATTTACACCTTCGGCCCTTGGATTTTTGAGACAGGGTCTCATTGTGTAGCTCATTCTGTCTGTGATCTTGCTATCCTCCTGTCTCCCATTCCTGATATGAAGATTACAGGCTTGTGACACCATGCCTGGCTAAAGATTCACTTTAAAACTATATTACTTCAAGAGCTCTAGACATTGTTTAAAGGAAACCAAATTAAACTGACTTAAATCCAGAAGGCCCCAAGTGCATGTTAATATAAATGCTATAATTAATGATAAGCACTAAGTCAAGGTTTTGTCTATAAATTGCTTTGCTCACTTTCTTTCTGTTTTTTGTCTAGCTAGCACTTTATGGTATCCAGTGTTCTTACCACTTCATGTCCTATTATTACTGAAAGTAGCTTTCTCTTTTTACTTAGCAACTTTTTGATTCTTTTTTTTTTTACACAAGTAAAGTGTCAGAAAATGCTTTTAGGGTATAGAAAGTGAAGCAGGAACATATTTTACTATCCGTATCTGGCTATATATTCCTTTCCTGATAGAAAACTGTTTCTCTTAGCTTGCAGTATGTTATTTAATTAGGTGTACAATTAAAAATTTGAATATCTTAGATTATTGATAATAATTGTGGTGGGATTGGTCTTAGGAGAAAGTAGTAAAATAATGCTTACAGGGAGGGCTTTCCTATCTTTGAAGTATCCAAGTTAATATATTGGGTACTAGTGAGTGGTCTGCATGCAGTTAAGCATCTTAAGGACATGTGTTTAAGGCACAGTAGCATTATAAAACTTAGATTTGACAGAATTTCTCACTCTAAAATACTCTGCCTGTTGTCACATTGAAGTGTTTCCATTTAGAAGAAAGCTGGCCTACTTGAAAATTTTAGGTTCACAAGTGAATAGCTCTTTGGAAAATGTTTTGAAAATGTCAGTAAAACTTGAACTAAATGACTTTGTGAGCTCTCCCATCTTTAAGATTCTATGCCCCACAGTGGTATGGAAATGATTAATGGCAATATGTAAGTTGCTTTTAGCTTTTTTGGAAGAAATGACAAACATTTTTATTACATGAGGTAAAGTAAGATTAACAAAACCATCGTTCATGGAACTTATGAGCATCATGCATTGGCAGGTACTCTTGTCTAGTCCAGCAGTGCATATACATAGTTAGTAACAGATTTCAGCAGGCGTTGATGGAAGCTACTTGAGAGATTGTCAGTGTGGTCTAGGCTTTAAAATGTTTGGCTTTTGCCTGTAAACACAGCACCACTATTTTGGCAAATCTGTACTTGTTATTAAACTATTTTAGCCTTAAAAATAACTTATATGATTTTATGACTTACTTTCTAGATGGAATAGGAATAAATCCTGCACAGACTGCTGGTGAGTGTCTATTTGAAAACTCATGAATTGTTAGTAGGGCTATATATGTCAATTAATACCAAATATTTAATTCAATCTAATTAGGTTTAGGATTTTCACAGAGTGTAATTATTGTTTAGGGATTGCATAGTAGGCTTTATACATCTGAGTAATAACTTGTTTCAGTATATTTATCAATTATATTTGTTCTGGGCTATAAGTAATGGAAAACCTGAATAATAATGGCTTAGATATTAAAAGTATTCAGTTAATACACGTAACAAAGAGTCTGAAGGTAAGATTGTGTTCTTATGGGAGTAATGATTTTAACCTACCTCTTGAGGTGATTTTGAGATAGTGCAAATTCTTAAAAGTTTGCATTGTCCATGGTTAGTAAGGAAATACTATTATTACTTTAAAGAAATACAGTCACTTACTTCATTTCAGAGGACTGAATGTGGACTTAGAGCTTCAAAGTGTTAAGATAGTTCATTCACAGTAATACACTGATGCTTAAACACCAGGCAAGGTATCAAAGTCTTTATTAAAAGTAGTCTTAAACTTTTAAGAAGTAGTTTTATGTTTTAAATGTGACCTTTTGAGCTAATAGTCCATATTTAAAAAATATGTAAGATTTAATTTGTAACCTCATTCTCAAGCAGTTAAATTATTATATTCTAAAGTACTTTTGTATTATAACAAAATTATGCCGTCCCCATAGGCCATTGGTAAAATTCAGCCATACAGAAAGTGCAGAATAATTTAAAATTACAATTTTTGTTACTTAAATCAGTAGTTTTAAGTGTATAATTTTATTAAATTAAAATGATCATTTACTAAAAATTGTGAAGCACTTTATTGCATAGATGCCCTTAAACTTAGTAGATAAAGGTTTTATTGGATAAAAATTCTAGAGGTTTTTGGTAATTTAATTTGAATTAGTGTTTACTCTGACATGTTGCCCTATACATTGTCTTTCAGAATTGAGTTGTTTGTATCACTAATAATGAAGAAAATCTCAGCAGGTAGTTGGCCCCAAGTAGATTAGTGTATCTAAATTTTTGTCATGTGTGATAATTTAGTAGTTTATTTTTTCTGTCTTTAGGTATTTTTTTCTGTGTATTAACTAAGTATTACTGATTAAATTAATTCATGTTCTTTTCTGATTGTATTTGCTAGCATTTTATGGCTATACTATTTAAAAATTTTAAGTATTTGTAGGATTGTGAAGATGTGAGAGGAGTAGGAACAAGACTTAAAAATATGAATTAAGTTATGGTGATTGAACTTTTGTATCTACTTTACTTTTCACTACATATTTCTTGTATGCAGTAATGTTGCATTGCCAAGATAACTTGTCAAATTTTAGATCCCTAACTTTATGTTTTATTTGTTTGTGTAGGAAACGTTTTTCTAAAGCATGGTTCAGAACTGCGAATTATTCCTAGAGATCGCGTTGGAAGTTGTTAATATCTGCTACTTGGAGCATATAATTACCTTCAAAATAAATGTTGGTATTTTTTGTTGTAAAAATTGAAATCAGGCATTTGAGGAACTGACAACACCAAGAGTCAATGAAACAATGAAAGCTGCACACAGTCCTTTCTTGTTTGTACTCTTCATGTGAAGAGGGGATGCTTGTGAGTGGAGTGTACAACCACCACAGAAAGTCATAGATTTGTCGATAGCTACCTCACAATACAAGCAGGGAGTTCATTTGTAGAAAATGGATTATCCAACTATGTTTCTATAACTAGAGATGACTCTAATAATTCTTTCTGAGAACACTTGGAAAATTAAAATTTGCTGAATTTTACCTATTTGTCATTGAGTTCAAAATGTAAAAGGATTATGGATCATGGGTGTCACTTTGCTACCATCTGACTTTGCACATTATGGTTTGTAGTATACACAGTATGTAGTTTATGATGTAGTAGGTGGTTCAGTTAATAAGTAGCTATCTTAATTTTTTTTATCAATTTGTTTTAAGTTTCAAACTTAATGTGTCACAAATTTTAATTTAGTATCAAGGAACCAAAAATTGAATTTTGGATCTACCTATTATGTACATAAACTGATTATTCTGCACCAAATAGTTCTAACAGTGATCTTGCAGAATCCAATATTTGTAATGGTGGGAATTTATTATGGTAGAAGCATTCTTTACTAAGTTATACATTCCTTTATCACCCTCTTCCAATGCAATTCTTAGGACAGAACCCATTGTCTTTTTGAGGCTATTTCTGAATAGCACTCAGAAAGAGTATTGTTACAGAGAAGATCCGATGTTCACAACAAAGCTTAAAGAAATACTAATTGGAAATTCTGTTGAGTTATACTTCTTGAAAAGTCTACTTTGAAGAGGTGCTAATGTTAGTCATCCGGGTGAATAAGAAGCCAGGGCAAGGAAGATGGGAAAGCCTGGATGACAAAGCTCTGGCAAAAAAGGAAAGCAACAAAGAACAACAGTGAAGAGGAACAGAAAACTGTCATAGAGTATCAGAAAAAGCCAACTGGTTGGACAAAACTTTGGAATGTACGTTGGAGAAAACTGAAAGTGAAAACAAAATACTTCATATAGTCTTGTGCCACACAAGGCAGTTAGAAAAAGCAAAGTGTAGGCCTTGTCATCATACAAATTTCAAAATATTCCTTAGGATCCAAAGAATGATGTGCATAGTGTAACATTTTATTTGCCTTTACAAAGAAAATCAGTATCTGTGCATATCTTGAAAGATGAAATGAAGGCTCACAGTGACTCAGAATCAGTACTTGACCTGCTGTGTTTTAAATGGTGAGCTCTGTAGAGGCAGGGTTGTGTCTGTCTAATTCTTAAATGTAGGTTTTCAATATGTACTTGCTGAGTTATTCATGAGTAAAGTCTCTAACAGCAGTTTTTACCTTATCATGTTTCATTGTCTTCCCTGTCCTAGGTTCTTTGGGGGAAAATTTAAGAAAATGCAACAAGCTTTGCATCTGAAGGGTCATATTGGTAGTTTTAAGAAATTACCAGACAGATGTCTTATTAACAAATTTGATAAGTGAGAAGCAGAATCAAAGGGAAAATATTGCTGATGTAGAAAGTGCACAAAATGTTTAAGAAGGTTTAATTTTCTATTTTAAAAATCTGAGGCTCAAAGGTCCTGTTCTTTATAAACTTAAGCCTTATTTAACAAGAGGTTTATGAATGCTCATTTCCTGAAGTTTTGGCTTATTTTAAATTTTCCTGCTTGTTGCTTTTAGCACAAATATCTTCCTGCTGTTTGCATAGATAAATTTATCAATGTTCTGCACTATTAAAGTGATTTACTGGATACATTTGTTCTTTGGTTTTGAAAATGAGGTATAGTTCTTTAAAACATTTTATTAAACAACTAGACATTTTGTTATTAAATATTATCTCTAAGTTCTTTGTGCAGAATGTTTTGAAGTGTGTTAAGCTTACATTGTTGATTCATAATTAATATCTTATAAAAATACATTTTGTTATACTGTAAACCATGTTGTCTATTTTTGCTTTATTATTAGAGTTCTTAGTCAGCATACCTATTGAGCCAGTTTATTAAAAATGTCATTTAAAAAGCCAAGGACTGTGGGTCATGGACATGAGTATATACTTCCAAATGCCAGCCCATTTTTCAGAAAAGAAAAAAATTCAGAAGGGTGGATAGTAATTGACTAGATCGGTAGATTCCAAACATGGATGATTACGAGAGTCACCAAGGGAATTAAAAATACAGATTTCTGAAAAAACACCCCTCAAATTCTAACTCATTAATTTGGAATAATACATAAGGACCTCTGTATAAAGCATGCCTGGTGATTTCTTTTGTATAGGTTGTTTGAAAATTAATGACAAGGCCGACCTTTTCATATTGTAGAACAAAATGAGGTCTAAGTGATTCAAGTAACTAGAATGTGTTCTAAAATCTTGGCCAGTGTACTTTCCATTACTTGATTCTGTAGTAGCTTGACTAAGTGCAGAGATGCTAACATTCACTCACTGGTAGGGAAGCAGTTTTAAAGGTTTTCAACTCAGTTGTTAGATGTTCATCATCCTCATCAGACAGTTTGTTTTTTTAATTTTAGGTATCTTGCAAATTCAGCTGCAAGATCATTCCCTTAACCCACTTTTCTAACCAGATTGCTGTTCAAAAGCCATTCTTAGTACAGAAATTCTGGGACTGTCCTCTCATGGTTAGTGCTAGTGTTAGATAAACACCAGAAGGCTATTTAATTAAAACATTAGTTGAAATGTATATTTTTGAAATGCTCAATCTATTCTATTATCCACATCCTCAAAACTGCCTACACCAGATTATGTGTTATTTATTACTTTCGTTTCTCTTGTGCCATAATCAAACTAATCACAAAATTATATTGCTTCTCATTGCCATCCCATCGAAAATTAACACCCTTATCTTTTTTAATGTCTATTATTACAAAAGCCACCAGTCTCTTTTACACTTGCTGAAGTGAGCCTTTTGGTATGGAAAACTTAGGTCTCATTCTCAAGCTCAAAAGCCAGCAAAACCTTTCAAACCCTTCTTCACTCCTAGGCAGAATGGGGAACTTAGCTATGCAAGCAACCACTGCACCTTGTACATTCTTTATAGCAATTATTAAATTTAAAATTATTTGTCTAATCTATACCTATACATTTCATAAAACTTTAAGCTTATGCCTGAACCTGAATTTCAAAATTGCTTTGCCCTCAATTGAAAAACTGCATGAAATAATTTCTTAAAAATTGAAGTGATTTGTATTTCACTTATAGTAACCTTTAGCCAGAATCTTTGACTAACCACTATATCCATATAGTTCAGTATTTTTTGTAGCAGGGATTTACTCTGTCTCAGAAATGGACTAATGACTTTTTCAAAGTGCTAAATATTGTCCCATTTTAATATGTTAGTGATATACTGGATACTAAATACTGGAGATAAAGTATGTCAAAGACCTATTGCCTTTTCTTGGGCTCCCTAAAATTTATACATTTCCAAAACTGTAATTAACCACTGGAGTACTCATGGATTTGAAGATATGTATCGAACCCTTTTGTACATGCTAAAGTGAATTAGGTATTTTTCATACATTATCTCATTGGAATCACACAATTCTGATGTCTATTTCTTCTTTACTGTTAAAAGTTGTTGAGACTGGCTTAATGTGTTCAAGGTTACAATGAGTGACTCCAAGGTCTGTATGACTGTAAATCGATTATGTTTGCCATCATTTTTCACAGAATTACATTAAAGTGCTTTAGCAAAATGAAAATAAGCACATCTAGAAAGGGCTTCATACACTGTATTAAACATTTCTATGATATCACTTACTTGAAAATTTTAACTATACGTAAATATTTGCACTTACAGATTCCTCTTAGTAAGCATGTTCATTTGTATAACAAGGGAATTGTGAACACTGGAAAAGCAGCTTTACCACCTTATTATCTGCTTTCCTACATAGAGAGTGTTATAATTTTGTCACTGGATACAAAACACCTGCCAAGTTTGGCAGACAAATGCAGAGCCAATTTTTGGCATAAATCTCTTGATTTTCTGGCAAAACTTGTTAGCAATGTGAAAACTGTTATTGAAAACATATTGTGATGATACATTATGTCAATATTTGTTTGGGTGAGTAACACTTGGATTTAATAAATTCTTAAATGCACAATTTAAAAGCAATGAGTTGTTTTAGAAATAGATAATTTTTGTTGTCAGTGTCACAAACATTTTGACAAGTCTGAAGTGAAGATGGTAGCTCTGAGTTTTTAGATAAATGAAGGATGGATTAGACTTTTTCAATTATACAGTTATACTTAGATGTTAAATTGTATAGGGATGAAACATAAGTGACAATGAATGACTAAATGAGCCACAGAGGTAAATTCCCCAAAAGATTATAGAGACAGCCACATTGTGGGGAAGTTAAAGCTCTCAAGGTCTATGGGAACTGGCACACCTGGTGAATTGCAGTCAATAGCACATGCCTGTTCAATTTAATCCTGAGTTTCTATAATCCTGCTGTTTGATTGGAATAAGGAGTAAAAGGAGAGGGACTCTGCTCATTAGAGGTTGCTGAGGGCTTAATTGAGAGTGTTTCCCTATATGGAAATAATCATGTTCCAAATAGTTTGATTTAATTTTTAAATCAAGCCAGCACTTCTTTACCTATGAAAAGATATATTACCTGCATTACATAGACCCTTGTATTTGGGAGCGGTTTAAGAAAATATACTGTTTCCTGGTAAGATTATATTTTTGAAACTTAAAAAAAAACAGGAACTTTAATAAAGCAAACCAGATTTGAAGGACAGTTGCCAGGATGCATGAGACAAGGAAATGTATAGGTTGGTCTTCCCAGGATAATTAATATCACCACTTTTGGAGTTCATATCTTGGATTAGAGTAAGTTTTAATTAACTTTTGAGGGTTATTGTAAATGAATATGACAGATAATGAGTATCACAGCAATTCAAAGGATTATTGAGGGCTGTGCTGTTAGAAAAGACTTTACAGCAATGAGGATAATAGGAGCTTGGAGAGAAGACATGTAGGAAGGCATTCATAAATTTAATCAATATGCATACTTTAAGCACTTACTATGTGCTGGACATTGAGCATCAGTGATAGAGCAGTTGGGTAAAAACATCCCTGCCTTCATGGAGCTTGTGAGAAAAGAGCTCCCAAAGTTTTCTTGGTTGCAGTGATTCAATGCACCCTTATAATGGCTTTTCCCAATGAAAGCCTCTTCACAAATTCTGTCCCTTGAATTACTACCTTTTTATGTCATCTATGATCAATTTAGTCATAAAACTGGAGCATCTCTGTTTAAAATTTGCAGCTTGATATTAGCTAAAATCTGTGGACTAGAGTCCTGGAAAGTTTTCATGTTAACATTCGCTTACATGTTGAATGCATTGGTGTTCACAACAAACCTGTATCCAGGAATAATTTTTTCCAGTTTAGTAAATGTCATAGTGAGAGTCAGAGAGGAAAATAAATTGGCTCTTGTCTGAATGAAATCTAACACAAGGATTTTAACCTGTGATTTTCTAATGACAATCAGTGCTTTCTACTATCCCTCCCAGAACCATTCAGGACAAGAGCAGTGCAGTACAGGACAATCCCAGCAGAGTTAAATGTTTATGGACCAATGGCTATGACCTATATCTTTGTTACAGAAGATAGAAATAATAGAAATTTTTGCCTTTCTGGAAAAAAGTAATACTTTTGGTTGATATATCCTTATTGCCTATGAGCTCATTTCCAGCTGTTCTTAATAGTAGGTCTATGTATATGGATGTGTGTAGTTAAAAAAAGGATACTTTGACACCTTGATTTAGAACACAGGTATATTTAGTTTTATCAAACTTATTTACTAGTTTTAACTCAACCATTCCATAAGTGAAGTCTTCCATGTGCTGAGCATTGTGCTTATTGTTTGTCTTTTGGGGAGCTTAGTTCATTTCACTAAGCTCATTTCATGACAAATAGTGAGGACTTATCTATAATTGAGTTCATAGATAAATTAAAAGTTTTTATGGATTTAGAGAATTCCAGAATAGTGTAACTATTGGAATATAGAGTAAAATAAGAGGCAGTAGTTTGTGGAGTTTCTGATACCCCTTCAGTATTAAATTTTCCTTTGCTTTCGTAGGACCCTGTCAAGCAGTTGAAAATGATACCTGTCTATACCCAACTGTCAAGCCAAGACTAAGGTGGTTTTCCATTGAAAATATCTGCTACAAACCAAAGCCTAGCAGACTCTAAAGCATTAGATGCATCAATGTTTATTCTTTCTAAAGGTAATATTATTTTTACCTTCAATCTAAAATTTTCTTTACTCTTTTTCAAGTAATCACAATTTCTATTAAAATTCTTTTGGGGGAACTCTATCACCTTTTATTTTATCCTTCAAAATCATGTTTAGAGTTTACTAAGATGTTTTGTACAATACTGCTTCTCTTGATCATGAGCTATATGACGACAGAAGTCCAACTAGTTTCCTAAGATGCATTTATGAAGAGAGAGAGAGAGAGTAGGTTACTATAGAAGTGTGTAAGGACATTTTGATATATGTACTTTTGCATGTGGAAGAGAGCATTCCTAAGGGCTGATCTCTTCCCTCTATATTACCTTAAATCATATCACCATTATTTGTAGATGAAAGTGATTGGAGTTGAAATTCTTATAAGGCTTAATCAAATAGAACCACAAAATGTAGTTTTGAAGAAAGGTAAGGTCAGTGGATATTATACCTGAATTATAGTTGGGTAGAGTCATCCAGAGTTGAGCAATGGAGAACACAGACTATTAGCAAGACAGGATCTATAGGGCACCTACATATATAAGTGTTTTTAGCTCATCACTGATGATATGATGACATACAGTGCATTGTAGTTACTAGACCTCTACTA